GTATGTTTTTGTTAATTACAGACTAAATTGGATGAGGGAAGATCCAGCTCTCAACAAGAGCTTAGAAGGGCACAGCTGGAAGGGGACACTCTGGGATCATCCAGTCCAGCCGTTGCCAAGGAGGCATGGGGAGGATTCGAACTCCCTCCAACCTCCAAACTGCCAGAGCGACCCTGTGTGTCGGGGATTTGTCAGGCTGAGGAGACACCACTAAAATATTTCGGAAAGGCCTCCCAGATTTGGCCCCCCCCGGCATCGTCTGATCTGGGTGGGAGTTCTTGAAATGGTTTTGGGCACTCTGCTCATGGTCAGAGACACTGCAAGGGAGAGAAACGTAGAATCTGGGCCAGCGATCAGCTGTTCATCTTTCCAGTCCGGGTCTGACCCTGCATAGTGGCGTGGCTACAAGACAGCAGCTTGCCTCTGACCATGGACAGAGTTTCCTTCCCTCCAGGCTCAGGAACCATGGTCAAAATCCCACTTCATGTCTCTGGAATGGCATATTATTTTCCTATGGGGTCCTTCGCCAATACCCACACATCCAGGATAGACAGACAAGGCAGCGGCTGGGTACAGAAATATCTGTTTTTGTTAAAAATCCACATTTTCTCCAAGGTATCAAAAAGGGATTTATTCCTGGACATCTTTTAAGGATGTACAGAACCTCTGTCCCTCCAGAGCCGTGGATGCCTGCCCACAAGGCTGGCAGCCACAGCTGGGTGGGGCTCAGGGAAAGGCACTCCGAACATGCTCAGAGGACATTTGGCGTCTGGCGAGGTGGTGGTTTCAAAATGTCCTGTTGTGATCGGGGTCAGCCGAGGTCCCTTCGGGACACGGAGGATGGATCACGTGGCTGCGATTCAAGGCTGAGTCACCGCCTAGGCAGCAGGCCTCTGAGTCACACCGCAGCCAGAGACCGAGCGAAGAGAGGAGGCCCCCGGGGCCAACCGGGCACGGAGAGGGTGCCAGCTCGAAACCTCCGCTGGCGCACACGCCCAGCAACACCCACACTCCTCCCGGTGGCGCATGCCGCACCCGGTCGACAAAGGCAAGCCTCCAAAGAGGGGCCACCATCATTTCTTCGCTCCTGGTTGTCTTTTGTGTGTGTGTTGTTTTTTTGGGGGGGGCATGCACTTCCATTCCTCTTTTGGGCACCGACAGGGGACGATGGTATTTGTGATCCATGCCATCCAGAAAGCATCGTTTGGGACGAGAGCTGGTTTGGGAGTTTAAAGGCTTCGAATAAGCCCTTGGAGTCATCCTGTAAAATGACCCACAGGCTGGGCAAGAACAAGAGGGGATGATGGGATTTCTGATCCAGGCAGATTCTGGAGATGGATGCTTCTTCTTCTTTTTTTTAAAGAAACAATGGAAAAAATTTTCCTCTGTTTTCATGCCTTCACATGTCCTGCATAGCTGACCTCAAAGCTTCCATTCACACCTGACTCCACGATACGACATGGATTGTACTAACCATCATTTCCCCCTTAAGCCACAAATTGCATACTGGGTAGGGCTACAAACCACGGTTTGTTTTCAACATCTCTGGTTTGTTCTTCTTCTCGTCTTTTTCTTCTCATTTGAGGATTGCGGGGCCAACTGGCCACAGAGGAGGCTGGCTCAAAGATCCTACAAACCGTGGTTTGAACACGCCACAATGAATGCGCCAAGAAATAAAACATGGTTTCAGTTGGTGGTTGGTTAGTCAGTTGTGACGTGTTAGCAGAGAGCAGCCATGTTTGTTTGTTTGTTTTAGTTGCTGTTAGGTGTTCAGCTGTAACTAAATGAAACGTTTTTGTTCTTTCTACTATGAACGATTCAGAGTGAGACTGTATGTGCCAGTCGGCTGACCAACAATCACCAAGGAGGAGAAAGAACTTGGTGCCGGAATTATGCTGAGTCAACTTTGGGGACAAATCCTGACTCAGCAACCTGTGCATCCAGAGAACGTTCGGATCTAGGTTTCCCTTTAATATAGGACTCTCACATCCTTCCCCCCCCTTTCTCCTTAACACCCCCTCTTCCTAAAATTCATAAGTCACCTCCTTTCTAAGAAAGAAAGCCGCTGATGGCTGGAAATGGCAGCTTGCCAATGATGACTTTTAATTTTTGGTTTCAAAAATAATGTCCAGGTGTGGGAGAGAAGAGGGAGCCTCAGGAGGCCAACCTTAGGGTATAAGTTCCAAATGGAAAGTTTAAAGGCCTTCCTTCCTTCCTTCCTTCCTTCCTTCCTTCCTTCCTTCCTTCCTTCCTTCCTCTTATCCATCATCAGTTCCTTCCTTATCTTTTCCTTGCTTCCTTCTTTCCTTCTTTCCTTTCCCTCCCTCAGGACCCTTGCCTTCCTACTAAGTTGAGGAAGAAAAGGCTGGTGGGGGGCCATGAAGGCTTATTATTCCCATTTAGGTGGGAACTGCCCTGTCCCACAGCAGTCTATCTGTCCACCCAAAGCGCCCTGGCTCACAGGCTTCCCCAAAGCCTCTGCTTAGCCACCGTTGGTCTCGACCGACCTCCATGTGGTCCCTTCTGCGCTTTCATGACCTTGACTCAGGCGGGCATGGAAAAGGTGGATTCGAACTCAGACCGGAGCGAAACCAGATTAAAACTGGAAGGCACCCGATATCCTTTTATTTTCTGTTTTGGGAAGGCCTTTCACAACCCAAAAGGGTCCTTTGAATTCCTACCTGCTTGGCCTCCTTTCTTCCCCCCTCTCTTTTAGGGCCGAAATACCCTTCCAACACCCGCCACTCCGCCTCAGGCTGCACGGCACAAAGACTAGCAGGACCAAGGAGGTGGCTGTTGTTGAGATGAGGCTCTCCCTGGGAGGCGCCGAGCAAACGAGGCGGGCTGGCGCTCTGGCAAATGTCTCCGCAGGACCTCACACAAAGAGGACGGGCGAGGTGGCCTGCTCCATGTCTCTCTCCCTCTCCCTCTCTCTCTCCCTGTGGGTTCAGTGGTGCAACGGTTGTGTGCCAAAGCATCGGCCTTCAACACAAGGCAAGGTTGCCGCCTGCCGATGTCCGCCCTGCACTGCATGCAAGGCCTTTTCAGCTGCTTTCCATTTCGGAGCTCTGTGGGGACCTTCCTTCCATCTGTCCTTGCTTGCTTGCTTGTTTCCTTTTGTAAAGCATCAGATCTATCTTTACTCCCTCCCTTTCTATCCATCCATCATCTCCTTCCTTCTTTTGTCTTTGTTTTTCTTTCTTTCTTTCTTCCCTTCCTTCCCTTCTCCGTGCCATTGTTTAATCTTTCCTTTCTTCCCTATCTTCTTTCTTTCTTTCTTTCTTTCTTTCTTTCTTTCTTTCTTTCTTTCTTTCTTTCTTTCTTTCTTTCTTTCCTTCCTTCCCTTCTCCTTGTCATGGTTTAATCTTTCCTTCCTTCCCTATCTTTTCCTTCCTTCCTTCCTCTTTATTTTTCTTTTTTTCTTTTCCTCTTCTTTCCTTCTTTCTCTTTCTGCCTTCCTCCTTCCTTCCTTCTCCCTGTCCTTAAACTTTCCTTCCTTCCTTATCTTTTCCTTCCTTCCCATTTATTTTTCTTTGTTTTCCTTCCTTCCTTCCCCCTGTTATTCTTTAATCTTTCCTTCCT